ATAAAATGTACAATTGCCAAATCATGAAATGTAATTAGTAAGTAGACATATGGTAAAGCATTCAAATTTCTCTACTTATCAAAGAAATACAGCATTTTCTTAAGTAAAGAAACAAAAATTCTTAAAAGAAAAATGGCCACCCTCAGGTATTAATACGGTACCTTGAAAGTATTAAATTCAAAAAATAAAAATACTCAATAATATCTAGTCTTCCAGGGATGCCTAATGGTAGTCTAGTACATTGCTGGCATGACTAATATTGCTACAGTCATATTGAGAAGCATTTTGCTAGTGTTTATAAAGAATCACAAAAATATTTTGACTCTTTGACCCAATAATTCTACTTCAGTGTCTGTCAGAGACACTGTAAAAATAGAAAATGCACAGTGAGGTTCATTACAGCAATATTTATAAGGGAAAATTGCAATGTTCTATACCAGAGGAATAGTAAATAAATTATGGAAAACATACTAGCTTGAATATTATGCAAATATTTAATGATTGCTCCAAAGATGAGTAATGTTAAAGGTGTTTTATATATAACATTGTTCCTTTTGAAGATTATGTATGTACTATCTCTATGAATGGCATCTTCTATGCCATTCTATCTTTTGTAAATTAGAAATTGAGGAGTATTCCTTGACATGTCTCTATCCCTAACCCTGCAAAGTCACTTCATCACTCGGTGGACACTTGGGGGTCAGTTTTACCCACTAAGTAGCCCTGAACACTTTCTACTTTTCTTCTACTTTACCGCCACCCTCCTGGGCCAAGCAAACACCTGTCTTTCCTAGACCCTACAAGTATCCTGCCTACTCTCCTGTTCCCCATTGGAATCTTCTCTCCACCTGCAGCTAGGATGAATCTTTTTTTTTTTGATTGAGGTATAATTGATATATAACATTATATTAGTTTGAGGTATACAACATAATTATTCAGTATTTGTATAAACTGGGAAATGATCACCACAATGAGTCTAGTTAACATCCATCATCATACATAGCTACAAAATTTTTTTTCTTGTGATGAAGACTTTTAACGTCTACTCTCTTAGCAATTTTCAAATATAGCATATAATGTTGTTAACTATAGTCACCATGCTGTACATTACATCCCAATGACTTAATAATTTTGTGACTAGTAGTTTGTACCTTTTGACCCCTTTCACCCATTTCTCCTAACCCCGACTCCCCATCCCCCAGCCCCCGCCCTTGCAACTACCAATCTGTTCTCTGTATCTATGAGCTTGGTTTTTTGTTGTTGTTTTTTAAATTCCACATATAAATGAGATAATATGGTATTTGTCTTTCTCTGTCTGACTTATTTCACTTAGCATACTGCCCTCAAGGTCCATCCATGTTGTCACAAACGGCCAGATTTCATTCTTTTTTTGTGTCTGAATAGTATTCCGTGGTATATATATTTATCCGTTTATCCATCAATGGACATTTAGGTTGTTTCCATATCTTGGCTATTGAAAATAATGATACAGTGAACATGAGAGTGCAGATATCTTTTTGAATTAGTGTTTCATTTTCTTCAGATAAATACCCAGAAGTGGAGTTGCTGGATCATATGGTGGTTCTATTTTTAATTTTTTGAGAAATCTCCATACTGTTTTCCATAGTGGCTGCACCAATTTACATTCCCACCAGCAGTGCACAAGTGTTCCCTTTCTCCACATTCTTGCCAACACTTATTTCTTGTCTTTTTGATAACAGCCATCCTAACAGGTGTGAGGTGATAGCTCATTGTTGTTTTGATTTGCATTTCCCTGACAATTAGTGATGTTGAGCATCTTTTCATGTACCTGTTGGCCATCTCTATGTCTTCTTTGGGAAAATGTCTATTCAGGTCCTCTGCCCATTTCTTAATCAGATTGTTTGTTTTTTTGCTATTGAGTTTGTATGAGTTCTTTATATATTTTGGTAATTAACCTCTTATCAGATATATGATTTGCAAATATTTTCTCCCATTCAGTAAGTTGCCTTTTCATTTTGTTGATGATTTCCTTTGCTGTGCAGAATCTTTTTAATCTAGGATGATATTTGGAAAATGCAAATCTGATGTCTCATGCACCTGCCAAGTCATCAATGCTTTCTCATTGCTCCAGGACTAAGTGCCAAACTGCTTAACCCAACCCCAAACACTGCAGGATCTAGCAGCTGTCTCTCTGCTCTCCCCTTCGCTTCCTCTTTTTCTCCCCCTCCACACTCAGCCAGGAGGACTTCATTTCAGTTCCTTGCTTCTTTCCTTGGGGGCTTTTGTTCTATGGCTGCTACTCCTCTGCCTGGAAAGCTCTCTCCCAGAACCACCTACCCACTAGCCCTTTGCCTCATCCTTGATCCTTCAACCTTCAGGCCATGTGTCATCTTCTCAGGGAACCTTTGCTGCTGCCTCAGACCAGATCCCCTTGTTATATGCTCTCATAGAACGTGTTTGATTTTTTATTATTTGCCCCCACACCTATCCCAGGAGAATGTAAATTCCATGAGGGCAAGGACTTGATTGTTCACTGCTCTTTACCCAAAGTTCAAACATGTGTTGAATGAATAAATCATACTTACCACTCTTTGTTACCTTACATCTGTATCGTTATTGGACTCATCATATCTGTTTCTTCCATTAGACTGTAAGCTCTCTAGGGTAGGAACCATATCTCCTCTGCTCACCATTGCATCTCTGCATCTACGTCATAGGAGGCCTTCCACAAATACATTTTATTACAACCATGTGAAAAATGCAGAGGAAAAATCACACCAAAAGGGCACAATGATTGTTAGGATTGTGAAAATATGACTGATTTTTTTTCTCTCTCTACAAGAAAAGTTATAAAGGAAAAAAATGGCAATATAAATAAGAATTCACAATTTTTTTTAAAAAGTCCTCATATAGTACTTATTGAATAAACAAAATTAAAAAGCTGAAAATAGAAATGACACCTATAGTTATTCTACTCTAAGAGATCATGTGTTTTGATTTTTTTCCCCAGTGTGTCCAGATGGGTGCATCATTTTTACTTAGCTATAATCACAGATAAAATGTAGTATTTTGTTTTTCCTACTTCATGTTATGTCATATGCATTTTCCCAGGATGCTGCATTGCCTACATAATTATTTTTAGCAACTGCATAGTGTTCAGTTAAATTAATGTACTTTGTGGGGGGAGGGGGGCCAATATTTCTTTAAGATAGATTTCCTGGAGTAGAATTCAGACTGTATGAGTATTCACAGAGAGGTACAGATTTCTGATTTCATTGGCTGGAATTTGGAAAAGAAACAGGCAGTGATGGATATGAATACAAGCGTGGAATGAGTGCTTGAGGAGAAATTAAGTGAAGTGTGATGATTTTAAAAGAGAGTCAATGTTATATCAAGCCTTTAGAAAAAAAAGTTAAGTTTATCAACTTATGTTTATTAGGAGAGTTCCTAAGTCAGGTAGCTTGACTGTCCTCTGAAATGAGATGGATGTGTTGAGAAGTGGAGGGGGGTGGTGCTGAATGTTGGAGTCTAATAATTGGGGAGGCTTCAAGAAAGTGGAGGTCATGTACAAATGTGGGACATTAATGAAGGTGGTGTTAATAAGTTGGAGGCAGCTAGTACTCTAGAAGCAAGTACTTGTGATCTCTTAGCCTGTTGGTAAGGGAAGTGGCTAGAGACAGGAGTGACCAGGTGTCAGAGGGTGGCAGTGGCAAAATGGGAGGCACCAATACAAATTTTGTGGGCAGGACATAAGGATTGCTGCCTAATGCTTTTCAAAATGCAAGTCTGGGCAGGATGGTCTCTGGCTTCCTTCTGGATTGTTTTATAAAATGACAGTATCATAGCCCCAAGCAGGAGCCTTAGTTGCAACCATCTCAGATCATTCCCTTTAACTCCTAAATTGCCACTCTGCAGCTGTCTTGCTCACCACCTTCTTTGTAATACGAAGTCCCTAACACTTGTGCTTCACAGAGGACCCTGAATAAAGGGCAACCGCCACAGTCACATGAAATTCTTTTCAAAACAGCAGAACCTTCCAAGCTTGGAATCCAACAACAAGCCTGACTTTTTCATCATTGTTGCGCCCAACTGACCACTTTATGAGATTTGTCATCATGTTCTTCAAACTCTCCTTTCTGCTCTGTTTGTCTCAGTCCAGGGTTGTCTCCCTCTGGATTAAGCACTTCTCATTTCCAAACAATTCTAGGGTCCTCCTGAAATAGAGCAAAATGATCTGCTTTAAAAAAAAAAAATCACAACCAATGATTTAATTAAGGACTTAGAATGGCATTTTTATTTGAAGGAGGACTAAGCAGGAAAGGGCAGAGGAGAAGGAAAAAGAAGTAATGGTAGAATTTCAGTTCTGGTATTCTGAAGATGTGGGGCAGACATTTGTGCTTTGGATGGCCCTTCCCGTCCATCTCAGTTGTGTCCCTTACTACTGAGCATTAGCCATGTGCTCATTCACCAGCTTCTGTGTTTTTGTGTTAAAAGAATTGCATTATCTAAGTCTATTACATTCAACAATTTCTTTTCTGCATGTAAGCTTTTATCTTTGACCACTGGAAGGGCAAGTAAGGACCCTATCTATTATATTCACTATTGAATCCCCGTTGCCTACACAGGACCTGGTACGTGGACATTCTCAATAAATGTTTAATGAATGAATGAATGAATGAGTAATCAGAACTAGAATATTCTAGTTTCTCCTTGTCATTAAAATATCTATCGTTCAATTGTATTATTAGATCAGATTTGCACAATGCTCAACCCAGGTTATCCTCACCAACTTATTTTAACTACTAGCAAAAACTTTTAGATTGTCATGGTATTTAAAAGAATATGCTAAAATATATACACAGTGTGAAAAGGAAATTCTGAGTAGAGCCAGTTTTTTTTTTTTTCTAGACTTACAGTTTATGCAGCTCCTCCTCTAGGTAAAGTTTAGCCCACCACGTGAGTTTGCACTTGATGTAAATGAATGTAAAGGGTGTATTGATGTTTTTGTTTTATTTCAGCAAACTCCAGAAGACAAAGAGGGATATCAGATGGCTTCAGGGAGTGACTGGTGAATGGTTTGAAGAAATTCAAAGAAAAAAGTTTTGCAATGAAACAAATGTTAGCCAAATGTTAAAACAACCACTTACATCCAGGCTAAGGAAGGGGATGGCTGAAAACGGTGAGAAAAAGATTTAGATCTAAACTGTTTTTTCTTACCGCGTTGTAGATAATGGCTCATTGGATCTCCAATTTAACCAATCCATGTTTAGGACTATTTTTAAATCATAAGGTACGAAGTTTTATAACATAACACATAATGAAAAGAGTAAACTGAAAACGTACTGTAATAATGTTTTGGGGGTGTGTTTTTAGAATCAGGCAAGATAGCATAGTGGTTAAGAATGCAGACATTGATATCCAAAAAGGCCTGGATTCAAATCTCCACTGTCCTATCCACGTGACTCTGTTCAAGGTACTTGTTCTCTGTAAGGCTCAATTTTCTCATCTTTAAATGAGTATGATAATACCTACCTTATAGGGTGGTCTGAGAATTAAATAAAACAGTATATGAAGAACTGAGCTGGAACACACTAAGCACTTAAATAAATGGGATGATGACACAGAAGAGGGGAGGGGAGGGGGGTGGGGGAGGAGGGGAGAGGGAAGGTGGTAGAGGAGCTGCCACCCTTCTGGTACTTTGGGAACTTAAACCCCATGAGTGGGAATAAATGCCGTCTTTGGACATTCAAACTATGTAACTACCAGCATGTGACTTTACTGTCACCAAACACTTATTTTTTAAATCTGTAAATGAGGATAATAAAAACTGCTTTCACAGGACTATTATTGTGAAATTAACAAAGTGCATTAGAAATTACAAAATTCTAAAACAATATAAAGTATCTTTCTGCTGATAGTCATATTGACTGCTTTTGCTTTTATGTTGCTAATATTAGTAACATCAAGAAACATGTATCAATGTTTCTAAACTTTTATATTGACAATGCTTTGCAACTGCCAAAATAAACAAATCTATCTAAAAAGACTCACAGTTCAGATTTTTAGATTAACCCCATATATACCGTGGTGACTTTCCTCTTACCTTGAATTCCTCTAATATTTATAAATTCAGCATGTGCAAAAGTGTTACAGTATTCTGGACTTTGTGTATGTTGATGTTGCCTTAGAATTTTTAATACTCACATATAAAACTGTATATTATCTATACATAATATTATACATATTCATATTACATGCATACACATAAAAACCATATATATAGCAAATACATATCACAGAGATAGCTTTTTGACAGGAATAAGGAACACTCTAAGTGGCTTGATTTCCTTTTCCTTTACTTTCTTTGATATAAAAAGTTACATAGTATCTATCACTATGATTTTGAAGTACTAAAATAAAAATTTCTGCAAAACAGGATGTTAAGAGCAACATGAGAACTGAATGAGGTCCCTGACATGTCATCTGTGGTTTTGGATGGCCCTGGGAAGACACATTGAGAAAGAGTCAAGCAGCCGGTGTGTGGGGAGGGACATTCTACAGAACTGCCATCCACAGTGCAAATAGAAGACTCCCTACTCTTTGTGAGGATTTTCTCTACTCAGCAGAACCATCAGAGGCACAGGACTCCCCTTAGTTATTAAGGTCTTCATGTGGGGATGCGTTTTCTGTTTCTAGACTGCATAGAGAAAGGGGTAGCAAGAGCCAAGCCTTAGTTCTCCGAGATATATTTACCTAGGAATATTTTAATGATGAAAAATTTTTACAATTTTCTTTTAGATCCTATGGAATCACAAACATCAAGATCTAAAAATATACCTAATCAAAGAAGCCCAACCTCCATTTCTTCTCGGCTGAGCTTCAAATCATCATTTGCTTCCCTGTTCTCATTCAGAAAATCCAGAAAGGAGACTTTAAATCTTCAATCGTTGGAACAGAAAGGGTGAGTTAAATTCAGATCATGTGACAGCTCATTAGTTATCTGATCCCAGAGGCCAGTAGCCTGTTTTGTGTTCAGAATGTTTAATGTTTGTTCTTAGAATTTAAATTCAGATAGTAACAAAGGAAACAGGATTTAGCTCGCATAGGGACAAAGTCCTTATGAAACCATGAAACTTGGCTCTCCTGAAATCCAACTTCTAACCAACTGTGTAGATCCCAGGTGGTACACTTGGTGAATGATGGGTTAAATGTTGGGAAATAATTATTGACAGTTTCTCCACTGCTCCAAGAGCCTGGTCTACGCCCTAGTCAGGAAGATATCTTTAAATCAAAACTACTTCTTCCTTGGGGGCTATGTGTGTCTGTGGTCACAAGGAGAGATGGGGTATAAAGACTAAATGAGAGTAAATGAGATGAGCAAAGAGAATAGAGAAAAATCAAATCTTAAAGCAGAAAAATCAGATTTTAAATTTTAAAGCAAATTTTAAAATGTATTACTGCCACTAGAAGTATTGAGGGCAGCTGTTCTGATGTGGTTGTCCAGAATTTAAGGAGGATAAGAATTAAAGGAGGGTGAGCTTTTGGAGCAGTGGAGGCATAGTTCCAGATTGTTCCTAGTGTAGAACTGTGTAAATCGGTTCATCTTGACTCATTCTGTTGTTGGATTGTTTTGTGAAAAACAAGCAAGGCTTTGCTTACATGCAGTTGAGCTGACTGCTAAATATTTCAGCATGTCTTCCTGGTTGAAAAGCTTCCCACCCTCTTAAGGTGTTGGCTTGGCACGTGATACGTTCAGTATCTGCCGTCAAACCATTTGAGTGCATTGCAGCGCTGAATAAAAGGTGTTGGAGGTTACTCTTGCTGAAAAACAATAGGCAGCAAGCAGTTGGTGGGGCATGTAATGAGGCTCCCGGACTTAGAGAACAGAGCTCTCTCTTCCCCTCTTGGGTGGATGGAAGGCTTTTTGCTTCCAGCTTTCACCTGTGGCTGCTTTTGTCTTTGATGAAATAATGAAGAGCTGAACAAAATGTAGATTTATGTGACTGTCTCTACCAGAGTCACTTACAAGCAAACATTCTTCAAATAGGTGAGTTGTTTTTCTTTGTAAAAATGTTTGGAACACTAGGAATTCTCTCATTTGGAAATTTAAAATGGAGGAGTATTTCCTTTACAGGAAATATTTCTTTTAAGGAGACCAAAAATATCTCTAATTGTGCTGTAATTTGTGTTTTAGGTGATTTTCTTTAAGGCAGAGTTTTATATAGCTGAACAATCTAACATTAGTAAACTAGGAAAAATTGAGGAACGTATAACTCTATGGACAAGTTATTTCCAAGCTCATGTTGCAAGTTACTGCAAAAGCGTATCAAAGAAGATAAATGATGTATAATCTTCATTCTGGGTATTACATGTTTTAGTTATAAACCAAATTGAAATAATTGAAACTCTTGCAAAATTCTGTTTACCAACCGTCCTTCTTGTATGTATACCAAAATGACTTGTAGCTCACTTTTAACCGGATGAACATACCGCACAGAAATGAAACAAATTTCATCACATAAGTGTATGTGTATGTTTAGCAGTTTTCAGAATTTATCATCTTTAAATACATTTTATTTTCAAAACACTAGTGGGAGTAAATATTAATTGTGCTGGTGCGGAATATAATGAAGGCACTGTTTTTTGCTCCTAAGAGGTTTCAGAAGATAAAATGTAAAAATATGTCCTTTTTGTTTTGAAATATAAATGTGACCTAAAAATTTGGATATAAATCCTACATGTGTATGTGGGGGGGGAGGGAGACGTGTTTTTAAGGAAGAGTTGTACTATGGTAGGAATATAAATGGTGTGTCATACATTCCAAGGGGCTCTTTGCTCTTAAGTAGAACCTAACTTTCTTTGGCAGTTCTGCTCTTTTGAAATACAAAATCAAGCTTTAAAATACAGACTCTGATTCCAGAGCTCCTCCTTGCCCGTGAGTGCACTGGGAGGAACTGATGAAGGGCCCCAGGGAAGCACAGTCATCCTGTGTCAGGCAGCAGTCAGGTTTCTACTTGCTGAAGCCATCAAGGCTTGACTTGGTCATACTCGGTGCTCCGGAGAAAAAGTCAGCAAAGCAGTTTAGAGGATGTTTTGCAAATCACAAAAGAGAACCAATCCCTCAAAGCAAAAGACAGCCTTCTGTTCAGCCCTAAAAGACTTGAGTATCAGAAAATTTATTTTCCTCTTTTAAGCTGTGGTTTAACTGAGAAATGACACTGGATGATGGGTAACTCTCCCAGGAGAAAATGAAGATATACTTGTTCACTTTAGAAAGGCCAGCCAATAAAAGTATATGGTATGTTGAAGCTTTGATTTCCTATTATCATTGGATAAAAAGCCATGGGAATATAGTGACTTCATGAATTAATACAAAGGCAAAAAGATTTATCATTTCTGCTTCTCCTCCCAAATTTATGTGCTTCCCAAATTATCCCATTATTATTTTAATCCTATTTGTAAATGATTGAACTATACCCTCTGTGACTCCCCCTCAACTCCAGGAAAAAAGAAAAATATTTTCCGTTCAAGTTTTAATTTATTTATTGCTAGCCAATAAATTCAAGAAAAGTGTATATACGTTGCATGTAGCTTTCCCTCACATTTTCCTGTAAGTCCTGTTTCCTCGTGTCTTGTTATGGGGCATCTAGTGCCTGTGACATATAGTGCTCAGCCCCCACCACAAAATTTCAGAAACTCCATTGTCTCACAAATTCCTTCCATGTAGTTCAGCAAGTAGCCGATAGTGTATGTCATGAGCTTATAAGTGCAGTCTTCCTGGCTGACAAACAGCATCTACAATTGTTCCTTTTTTATTCCAGACCCCAGGTTATTCCAGGATGCCCTCTCCACTATGAATAAGTGATGTGCATGGCACTCTCTGTTTCATGCTCCAACATACTCCACAGTGAAGTTACCCCTTTAAGGGGACCTTTTACCCCCTTGTTCACACACATTCTCAAAGCTATGCAGGCATGTGCCACCAGTTCATTATGGCGACTTAGAGCTATCAAGTTTTCCCCCCTACTTTTTCCTTTATTTTAGTCCCAAGGACTAGAGAAAAGTGAACGTACAAGGGAACTAGCTCAAAAGGCTCATGATTAACATGGACAGTTAAATTTAAGATTGCTTCTTTTCTATGAGGACCATCACACTGCTTAGCATACAGTGAGCACTCACCACATAGTTGTGATTAGAGAGTGACAGCTGCTATCCTGGAGTGAGGGTATGCAGGCCCACTACCCAGTTCCTTTGGGATGATTCTTTTTCTCTTGAGATGCAAAGAGCTTTGCTTGGGCCACCTTAGCTTAGGTGCTCTTCAGACATGCCCAAATCTGCCTGATCCATCATAGGGTGTACATAGCTCAGGCAAGCCAGCTGCAAACTCAGTTTATGTAAGCAAAAGTTTCAAATACTATTATGGAAAATTAAAAAGGCAGATTATGTTTTTTTCTGGAATTCTGGTTGTTATCTCTCTCTCTCCACCCACCTCTCTCTACAAATGTCCTACTGTGCTCTTTCCCATTCCTAGTTGAATGCCTCGGCTTGAGTTGGAAGATGCAGAAATCTAAGACACTGAGATATAAGGAGAAGTCAGAGTAAACAACATCCTTCTTTGGAAATGCTCCTTCAGTGATCTTGGGTGTGGTGTCCACAGATATACAGTAGGGTTGTGGTGACAGAAGGGAGAAGCAAGACAGGGGAGTAGTTCCCAGTTGATCTCGTTGGTCATTGTTAGACTCTCATCAGCAATTTAAAAATAATCAGGCCCCAGAGGTTCTGATTCAGAAGGTCTGAAGTAGGGCAAAGGAAGTGTTATTTCTTTACTTATTTTTAATTCTCCAAGATTTTTGGATGCTCATTCAGGTTTGAGCACCACTGCGGCTTAGTTTCCTACTATTCCCATTAGGGTAAGGGCTGTCAGAATTCCTGGCATGGGTGCTAGTAGCGGAGGTGATAGCCTCCCTTTTGTTTATTTATCAAGCTTTTTCTCAAAGTCCCACTAGGCATCAGATACTGTGTTTAGTGCTAGAGATAAAACCATGAAAACAAATCAAAGTCCCCGCCTGGAGGACTTTATAATCTAATAGGGAATACTAGATTACTGCATATGGTTGGGCAGGAGATGCACCACGAACTCTAGGAAGGGCCAATCACATCACAATCATCACGGATTCATATATGTATTATGGCAACTTTCCAGCAAATGACAGTAAGGATCTTGACGAAGGACGGAATTCACACAGGGGTACCATCTGGCCTGGGTGCAACCTAGATGACAGCTGAGTACACTGAGGATTATGGTCCACTATGGTGAGTGCTATGGTATTCCTGCCCTGAGAACATACAAGAGAAGCACTTATCTCAGACTGGAAGATCCAGAAGGCCTCCTGGAAGAAGAGAGCCAATTTCTGAAGGATATATAGGCTAGGCAATTAAGAGTCAGGAGGCTGCACCAGGCAGAAAGAATGACACAGCAAAGGTGCAGAGACTGGAGAAAGCAGGAACTCATCTAGTCACTGAGGTTTAGTGACCCAGTATAAGGTGAGACTGATAAGAGATGGGGTGGGAGAGGTGACAGAGGCCAGAACACAGAGACATTATACATGAATGTTAAGGAGCTTGGACTTGATCCTGTAGACATTGGGGAGCCATTAATCACTTATTTGAATAATATCATTCTTTTCCTTATTTTATATATATATAAAATATGTATTTCCTTATTATGTATGTATAATATACATAACAGATGAAATCATCCACAACCCACTGACCTGGACAAACACTAATATTTTGGTGTATTTCATGCGTGTGTGCATGTGCATATATTTTTTCCATTGATAATGGAAAAACAGAGAAGTGACATAATCAGATTTTCATTTTAGAAAAATAACTTTAGCTGAGTGGTTGTCAACCAGGGGCAGTTTTGCTTCCCAAAAGACATTTGGCGACGTCTGAAGATGTTTCTGGTTTTCACAACTGAAGGGGGGAGCTATTGGCATCTAGTGGGTAGAGGCACACGACAGAGCACCAAAGTAAAATGGCAGTGGTGCCAAGGCTAAGAAACTGCTCTAGCCGTAGCACGAAGAACAGATTTCAGGGAGCAAAACTGAAGTCAGAGAGACCAGGTAAGACACTGTCAAGGTGGTGGTGGCCTAAACTAAAGTGGAGGCAATGAGGAGGGCAAAAGCAGACAGACTGTGCACAGTTTCGTATGTAGAATCATGAGAACCTAGTAATTGGCTGTGTGGGTGAGGGAGAAGGAGGAGCGGAGGTGAACTCTCTGACTTCGAAAACTAGGTGGATGATGGTGAAGAATACAGGAGGAGGAGCAGATGTGATGAGGATAAAAACGAACACATTTAATCATTTACTCAACAAATACTGCTCAAGGAATGCCGTGTGCGGCACTATGGAACAAAACATGCAGTCCTTGGCTTCACAGGCTTTAGTCTTGCAAGGACAACAAAAAGGAAACAGAGAAACCTAGAATAGTGCTAAGATGGGGAAGTTCTGCATGCTACGGGAGCACGGATGAGTGGTATGTATTTTAGACTAAGTCTAGAGTCCAGACAGGTCTTCTAGAGAAAATGATGTTTCTGATGACTCTTCAAGGATGAGGTCGTTATCCAGGCAAACACATGGTAAAAAAAATGTTTCAGGCAAAGGAACAGTACATACATAGGCTGAGAGGTGTGGCAAATTCCCTACAGCAGAAGGGACGTAGGAAGGGGAGAGATGAGGCTGGAAAGTGTGCAGGGACTCAATCACATAGGGCCATGTGAATGCAGAGAAGAATTTGAACTTTCATCTGAGAGCAAATGGGAATCGTTAAAATGTTAATCAGGGAAGTGGCATAATTCAGTTTATACCACTCACTCACTCACAGTGTAGAGAATGGATTGGACTGGGACAAAACCTGTAGACAGGAGGACAGTTAAGGGACTATTGCATTAATAAAGGCGAGAAATGGTAAATGTCTCAACTAGGGTAAAGGCAGGGAGAGGAAGGGATACGGATGGTTTTGAGAGGGATTTTTGAGTTAGAATCAAAAGGATCTGTTGATTGATTGGATAGGGGAAGGAGTGGGCATGGAAGGAGGACATGGAGTCCATGTTGGACACGGAGGGTCTGAATTGCCTGTGGTCATTCAGGTGGAGCTCTTCAGTGGCCAGTGATTAGAGCGTGCTCCACCAGCATTTGGGGGAAATCACCCAGAGTTCTGGTTAGAAAAGAATATTTTCAAAAAAGAATATTCTTGAGCCACACTCTAATCTACTGAAGGAGAATTTCTGAATGGCATCTGCAAAGGTATGGAGACAAGAGAGAATATTTTATGAAAGTGGAACAAATTTGTTAAGTCTAGACTACAGGTACCTGTAGAGGATTGGAGTGTGGGGAGATAAGGATTAAAGGGTGAGGTATTGTCTGGGGCACTCACCAGGTAAAAGAAGAGCCTCGTGTCATGTTAAGATTTTGGATAATACCTTGTAAGATTTTAAGCTGGGGATTGATGGGATCAAATTTGCATTTTAGATGATCTCTCTATTGGTGGTATGAAGGGTGGAGAGGAGTCCAGGAGAGAAATTGTGAAAGTTTAATATAAGGCAGAATGAGTGAATTTGGAGAAGTGAGGATATATGTGAGAATCTTTGAGGCATGGCATCAGTAGGACTTGTGAGGGAATTCAGAAGGTGCGGTAGCTTTGTATTCCTTGATAGCACCAAGTCCAAAGGACTTTTACCAGCATAGCTTTCATAATATCACTGTTGCTTTCATTCACTCTACAAGTGGAAGCCATTCAGGTCAAAAACAGAAATTAACTTTTAGGAGGTCCTGGGAGTAGGTGCGGAGACTCTGGGCCTCTGAGCCACCTGAGTCCTATACCTGCTACCTGATCCACAGCGGCACACAGGGCCTTGCACACCCGCTCACAGCACACCCTCGCACTCGGTGGTGCTCTGTCCCAGTTGTGCTGCAGACATCCTCTAAAGTCAGATCTTCCACCCACCTGCCACTCTCAGAAACTGATTCCTGCCCCTGCTGCCCTCACTCCAAATCAGATGGGGGCCTGGGGAGCTGGGGAGAGTGTAGAGCTGTGTGGGTGCACCATGAAGGCTGCAGCCCCCCGGGGTCTGGAAGGAATCTTCACCATCTGGCATGTTCTCTTGGCTCCTGGCAAACTGAATTACTTGCCAGTTCCCAATCTCCGTTGTCTTTCCCACCTCCGGGCTTTGCTCATGCTGTTCTTTGCCTCTCATAGCAGTTCAAGTGCCGTCTGCTCCCTGTCACCTTCCCTATTCCTCCCCAGAAAGTGCTCATTGGCTCCTTTGCATTTTCAGCTCATTTTGCTTACACTCTATTATCCTTATCACATCTTGGCTTGTATTTTGGCTCCTTATGTATCCAATCCTTCCTATTCTAAAAGCTCTCCGAGGACAGGGTCCCTATCTCAGTCATATTTGTTTCCTGCAAAGCATGTGGAAGGCATACAGGCCCAATAAAGCTGTAGGGGAAAAAAAGAATAAAAATAAAAGCAGCATTTAACTTCTAGATATTATTAGTATAAAGCTGGTATTTCAAACTAAGATGAAAAAAAATCCATGATATTAATTTCAATTTCTGTTTAAAATCTGAGCTTAAATTTTATGGATATCTTTAAGATATAAAATTGGCTTCCCAGGTTCTATGCTCAACTTTCGTGACCCACAAAGCCGCTAAGAGTTTGAATGAAGGAAAACTGCATCTTGCCACTCTTGGCTGATCTGACCCAAAGTCCCAGTTCATTTAATTCTTGATTCCCTTTGCTGTTCTCTCAGTGATTTCATGCAGAGCAATGAGTCTTTATGGTCTATTAAATTTTGAGCTGTAATTCAGGCAAAGCACCCCTTGGCATAGGATTATAGATTCAAAAGATCAAAATCTATCTCAATTTTGCACCTATGTCTCGTAAATTTTTTGCCTTCTACTGAATTTGAGGGAAGCAACATAATTAGTAAAAGCATAATTGTCCACCAAGATGAGTTCATAATAAGTAAGACATCTTTATAAAAATAAACACCCAGAAGCCATCTTTATAGGGTTTGCTTTTTTCAAAATTCCCTTATGAGTTGTTGAATGTGATCTTGACCTAATCTCTCTTTAAAATAAAAATGTACGGAAACAGAAAGTCTGTTCCCCATTTGCAAAAAGAGTCAGTGTGCCATACTGGTTAAGAAGGAATGCTCTGGATTCCGTGAACCTGTGGCCGGCTCTGAGCTCAGCCACTAACTGTGTACCTTGGGCAGTGTCTTCTAACTGCTCTGGATCTCCATCTCTTGGTCTGTAAACTGGGAGTAGTCACAGCATCCACTTCACAGGAGTGACGTGTGTAAATAAGGTAACATGCGCATAGAGCATGAGAACACTGCCTGACATGTTGACACATAGCCAACACTCAACAAATGTCGCTATTTTTCTTATGTCTTTATGCTGTGTTCAAATACAAATCCACTATTATGTAATTTTTTCTTGGCTACCTGAGTGACGAAGGTGTAAAACATTGGTCCTAAGCAACCACAGGAAAAGGTTTCTGAAATTTTCTTCAACAATACACTAACCAAGAATTGTCTTCCTACGGAACATTAGAAGTATATCTTCTCAAGATATCAAGATATAAGGACAAATGTGCTGTTGATTTTCCTCCTGGTGAAAGTTAGGCACCTCTTCAAAGAAATTGTTTCAAATTGTTTCCACAGATGTGACAGCCACGCAGGACCTCCTGTGTCTGTGAGGGGAACAGCTTCGGTAAGTAACCAGGGAACTAAAGGTTGTGCTAAGGAATTCAGAATTTACTTAATCCCTGGTTGGCTACCTATTTAAATAGGATTCTCCTTGGCTCCATTTTAAATTTACTTTAGAAGTTTAGATTTCTCCTAGAGACTTCAAACTTTCCCAGTCATGGTTGGTTTCCAGTTGGATCTGGTACTAACATACACAAACAGCAGGCTCTTCCAGGAAAGAGTGAGGCCGTCCTGTGTCCACTCACACCATCAGTGGCATCTCTGATCTTTTACCATGTGTCACTCCTGTATAGCCCTAAAGCACTGGGCGGAGGAAGAGGCATCCACTGCCACTTTTGCAAACCAGCGAGGGTCTGGGCTGGACCCTTTCTAGATAAGATCATCATTTGTATTCAAAGAGGAAGCCCCTGACAGGTGAGATGCATTTGGCCTGAAGAGGTTCACAGGAGGGGACTGACTCAACATGACCCTCTACCAAGGGCTTAACTTTAAACTTATCTCTGTGTGAACATGCTTACAAGATTGAGAAGTTGTAAGTTTTCTGTTTCTTGCTTTTTCGTGGTCATAACTTTTGATCTACACGTGCCTGGGTCTTTTTGTGTAACTCATGTAGCTTGGAGATGAAAGAAAGAGAGTTTGGGAGGGGACCTAAGAGTGCAGAAGGAGAGTAGCAGCATTTTTCAGCTTATTGTGGCCTTAGTAGTCCCTACTTTTCTCTCTCTCTTCTTTTACAAAAAGCATGGGGTAGAATTCTGGTGAGGAGTGCATATAAACAGAGGTTCCTCACTTCAAAAACGAAAGTAAGCCTCCTTTCTTCTTCAGAGTAATGCTACTTCTTTCTGGATAACACTGCACCCTATTTCTTTCCTTTATATGCTTGAGCCCCAACCATAACACCAGCACCAACTGCTACACTCGAATGGAGAATTTGTTGTCGTGTAGTCACTTGGCAGAGATCATTGCTTTTAATCCCCAGAGGAAATCTATAAAGTAGGTACTATTATTATCCCATTTTAAAGACGAAGAAACTGAGATTTAGAAAATTTTCAAAGATTGTGCTCAAAGTCACTTTGGTAAATGGTAGAGTCAGGATTAGAACACGTGGGTCTCTACAATCCGCAGCCAGAAAGTCAATCGTGCCTACAGCTCCGAAGCCCTGTTTTCTTATAAGCCCCAGTTGCTCGCTACCTATAGAGTCTCCTTTACTTGAGTGGTGGACTGAAGTAGCACACATCCAGCTTTGCTCTCTGAGGACAGAGCCCTGCTCCAGGATGCTTCTGTACTCTCGCTTTTCCTCAGAGAAGTGCTCAGAGCTAACCATCCTCTACTGTTTGAGAGCCAGGGAGTCTGAAGCAGATGAAGAATATAAAAAGAAACGCGAATGCCTAAAAGTTATAAAACTAGAGCTAATTTGGAGTTCTTGGGATTTGAAAATCCAGTCTGAGGATTAGTAGAGATCTTTCTCTGGCTCTCTTGATTGCTGCTTGCATATAACCATTTCAGTGCTCAGAGCATGTCAATCTAAAAGTCAGACTTCATAAAAAGTTGGAGAGAGAAAATAATGAAATGACTATCTGAAAAAAAAAAAGGTTTAGTATAACATGTAGATTTCCATTATTTATTCATGGAAGACCTATCCTCTTAGCCTGAAGAGAGCTGGAAGTTGGCCCTTGATGCTACAGGGATTCTTGCCAAGATTTTCATAAACTTCCCATCACTTGGTTGGCAGCCTGGCAAGAATGGTACAAAGGGGATTCTGGCATTTTATAGGAGATTGTACTACATTATTAGGTGACCTTCCACTCAAGAGAGAAGAAAGCTGCTATTTAAACATTTGCATTGGCTTAAAAGAAGCAAAGGATTTCAGTAAACAGAATTTTTAGAGCTAGAGAGAAATTTAAGATCGTGTAGCTCAGAGTTTCTCTCAAGCTCAGCACTATTGACATTTTGGGCTAAATATTGCTCCATTGTGGGGGCCGTTCTGTGTATTATAGAATGTTTAACAGCATCCCTGGCTTCTACCTACTAGATGCCAGTAGTTCTCCTCCACTCAACTCTGACATTCAAAAATATCTCCAGAAACTCCCAAATGTTCCTTGAGAAGCAAATTGCCCCATTTGAGAACCGTCTCCTTATAGGTGACGAATCCAAGGTCAAAGTAGTACCATCTTTGAGATAAAACATATGGCCTTGGCCACTTGATCACTCCTCATCTCTGAACAAATTCTGGCTGGGCCTACTGTTAGTCAATATGCCAGCTCTATACCCCTAGAAATGCACCTGCATGTACTTTCCACACTGGATCAATGTGAGCTCCCTGCGGCTGGAACTGTGTCTCCTCACCTGTGTATCCCTACTGCCTGGCACAGCCTGAGCACTCAGAAATTGAAAGAAGAAAGGAACGAGTGGTTTTAAGCCACAAGGTGCATCGGTGAATTTGCCTTGTGCAGGAAAGCAGACACAGATAAAATTCAGGAACACCTTGAAAAATTAATTTGTTGACTTTACCAAGGCATTTGATAACATCAGTGAGCTTAGGCTTCAGCCTTGACAGCTGTTCTGCAGGTCTGGCTGCCCTGGGAAGTTCTCACGTATTCTCAGGTTACTCTGTGACAGAAGGTTTGTTTGTTTCATGGTGTCAGACTTGCAGATACTATCAGTAGAGCGAATTCGGCTTGGGTAAAAGGCTGCATTTTGCTCAGGCTTTGTCATGCACCATGTTTGAGAATGTAACTGAGATCCTAAAAGCCAGCAGTTTGAGACTCTGGCCTCTAAGCCTGTGGGACACTTTTCTAGCTCATTAGGCTGCAGGCACCAGCAGGAGTCCTCCAGGAAATCCTCTGTAACCGCACAAGAATAGTAATGGCTAACAGTGAGGACTTACTAAGTGCTAGGCACCCTTCTAAAGTGTTTTATAACTATTAGTTCATTTAATCCTCACAGCAACCCTATGAGGTAGTGGGTGTTGTTATTGCTGCTGCTGTTATTATTATTGTGTTTGTTTTACCAAGAAAGAAACTAAGATACAGAGAGTTTAAGTAACTTGCCCAAAGCTATACAGCTATTAAGGAGCAGAACCATGGGCTGGCCCTGTGGCTTGGTGGTTAAGTGCGCGCGCCGCAATGCTGGTGGCCCAGGTTCGGATCCCGGGTGCGCATCGAGGCACCACTTCTCCGTCCATCCTGAGGCCGAGTCCCACATACAGCAACTAGAAGGATGTTCAGCTATGACATACAACTATCTACTGGGGCTTTGGGGGGAAAAAAAAAAAACTTAAAAAACTTTAAAAAAAAAAAAAAAAGGAGCAGAACCAGGATTTGGACCTGTGCAGAACTCATGTGCTTAATCATTATACTTTCCTGCCTCAGACATGCTTTTCTAAGTCCTAATATTGTAAACATTCAGTGTCTCAATGTCTGTAATAATCTTTACTAGAAATCTTATATGTGTAATTTTCTTCCTTGGTATGTCATAAATCAATCCATAACTGTGTGCATGGAGGGCATGGAATGTTTAAAGCGAGGTTCCTGTCTTCAGAGAGTTTACTATCTAATTGAAGATATATACATTAGTAAAATACTAGTAAAAAGCAACATAGTGGAAAGAACAGGGTTAGGGATCACATCATATGAGTGTGAGTAGCCAAGGCCACCATGTTTTATTCATGTGACTTGAGTAAGGCATATACCTGAGACTCAGTTTTTTCATCTGCAAAATGAGAATGATAATCCCTACTTAATTCACAAATTTGTTCTAAGGATCAAATGAGAGAGGATATTTTAAAAGTATATTGAAAACTAATAAATGAATTAATTTTGTTCAAATATAAGAGAGTTGGTACCAAATGAGTGTACAGAAATGCATTAGAGAAGCTCAGAAGTGGGAAATATTATTGTGGGAAGAGCAGTCTTGGAATTCAATTCAGTAAATATTAGTCCCTCTCTTATGCATTGATGCCATGCTGGGTGCTCAGGATGCAAAGGAGAATACGCTGCTTTCTTAGTTATTTTAGAGGTTGGTCCACTTCCAGGGTCCTGATTCATTTGTCTTTGAATGCCTGGTTTCCTAGATCAGAGTAGGGACTGAAATATGTGGTAGGGAGGAAGAGGTAGAGTAAAAGTGGAGAGAATGCAAACAACTTTGATATGACATAATAGTTGCAATACCAGAGGTGCATAAAAATACCATGGTAATTAATTCTTCTGGAGACAGTTGGAGAAGAGCTCACAGAGACAGTGATATATGAACTGGACTCGGAAGGATGAGTTGATATTTTCCAGAAGGAGAGGAGAAAGAGCAGAGATCAGGAGCAGAGACATGGAGGCCTAGGAGGAAGAGCACAACAGTTTAGAGAACTGTGTGTAAGGAGCTTGGAGCACGGAGTGGAGAGAGTTGGGGAGGAAAGGCTTAAATCAAAAGTTGGAAAAGGATTTTGACACGATTTTGCTGTGTGGAGGTGTTTGAACTTCATCCTCCAGGCCAAGAATGGGAAATAGGCTTCATCTTTGTGGCAACTTCATGGCACAGAACATTATTTTGAGGGAGATTCTGAGTCCAAGACTGAGCCCTGACAGAGGATCCCTGTGTGCTCTGGGCCCCAGAGAGATTTGCTACTCTTCTAGGTAACAGGAAACTTCAGATGCTTCCCGGCAGCTCTAAGACCTGTGCTTGGCCTCAGAAGATGCCTACCTCTAGTATAAAGTGCATTCATAAACCCATAAAAAAGCAGAGAGAAATGATTCAGCATGGGCTGTGGAATCCAACAGACTGGGAATGAATCCTCCCCTCCACCAGTGTGACTTTAAGCAAGTGATCTGACCTCTTGAAAATGCAGTTTGCTGAAAGTGAGAATAATAATAGTACCAACCTCATAGAGTTGTTAAAATAATGAAGTAAAATAACACATATAAAGCCCTCAGCCCATTGCCTACAATAATCAGTTTGTAGTTGCTGATGCTGCTGCTGCTAATAATGATAATAATATCTCACATATAGCTTAAATAAAAGTTAGGGATCTATAGAGCAGTGGTAGTGTTCAATCTTCTCTGTGTTGGCTATCTACCATTGAGTAGCAGTTACTTTTTTTTTTTAACAGTTTTATTACTGGGAAAAAGTCCTTGCTGAGTTAAAGTAGAGTGTAAATGAACTCTCCATATTATCTCTTAGCCATAGAATTTACATCTCTATGTATTGGAAGCATCCTGAATGTTTTGGGTGAGTAGGGTTGGTCTTCAAGCAGAGGATCTGGGCAGAAATATAACCAAAGGAAGTTATGTTCAGGGTCTCTAGGTGGTAGTAATCCTTCCCAGCCTAAAGAGGTTCATGTCTTCATCTGAGCTCTCAGTTCATGTACTTTTCATTTCAGTATAAATTTTCATTATAAAGGGATGTAATCCAGGAGGCCAAAAGGAATGTACTCTGGCCTACACAGAGGAAATTTTAAGTTTGTTTGGGAGTTAAAATGGTTGAGAGGCCATGATGCTTGCTATTCTCTTATCAGATGTAGCTACTCTGCACCAACTACCAGAACTGCAGATTTGGGAAGAATAGACTTATAAGATACATGACTAATTGTTATTAGCACAGATAAAGACTTGGAGAGACAGTAGGTAGGGCACAAAAAAGAATACCTGGATGTACTTTAGAGAGAAAAGAACTTAGCTATAACTGATCTGATTTCTCAAATGATTAGTTTCTGGTTTTATTACCTCCAATCAGTATCTCACTGTAGTTACGTTTTGCTTCTAATATTTGTTTACTTCTGAATTTTATGTTAGTGTATGTTAAATTAAATCCAATGACCACGGGCCGGCCCTGTGGCTTAGCGGTTAAGTGCGCGTGCTCCGCTGCTGGCAGCCCGGGTTCAGATCCCGGGCGAGCACCGCTTCTCCGGCCATGCTGAGGTCGCGTCCCACATACAGCAACTAGAAGGATGTGCAACTATGACATACAACTATCTACTAGGGCTTTGGGGGGAAAAATAAATAAATAAAATCTTTAAAAAAAATAAATAAATAAATCCAATGACCAATAAATTATCATTGTATTGTTTCTTTCTTATTAATAAATCTCCTTTGTGTGTATTCAACTATGGCTTGCCCATAAAACTGAAAACCACAAGTCAGTGAAAGTTGGGCAGGGCTTCTGTAAGAAATAACTGACCTAGATCTTGAGAAAGAAAACAGGCAGGAGTGAAAACATTAAATTGTTAGGAATGTAGGGATTAAGAGAGCCTGGGCTTTAGAATTGGACAGACCTCTGATGGAGAAGTAAAGAAGCTGGAGCTTTGAAAAGAGTAGACATTTGGTTTTAGGCATTCAAGGTGAGGTGAAATGTAATGGTGAACATCAAATGGAAAGGGAAATTTGGGGAAGAGAGGGATTCAGGGAAAGACTGGGTAGCAGAGAGAGTTGAAAATAAAGAGACTGCAACGGGAAGTGTCTGCTGGTCTTGTTCAGGCATGGGTGCAGGATGAGTAAAAGTGGAGTCATGGGTGACAGAGCCAGTCTGACAGAGGAAATGCAAATGAAGTTTTGGCAAAAGAAAGTGAAGGTGTGGGAGTAGATAATTCCTCCAAGGTTATGAAGACAAATTAAAACTTGAAAGTAGAGCAGTGATGGATTTGATGAAATCAAATCAAGATAAACATTTGCTGGTAAAGAAAGGAAAACAACTTTAGCTCTACATTATTCTCCTAACTCCTGTAAAACTAGCAATGGTTTAAGAAAAAACAGATTTATAAGGTCATACTTTTAGCACCTTTGTTTCAGAACTACTAATCAGCTCCTTATGTCTGTCTGGGAGGTTCTACCATTCTACACGAACTCTGTGAATAGAAACACTTTTTTTTTTCCCCTAAATCCATCAAGTTCACAAATCTTAAGGTCTACTACAAGCTTCAGCTAACTGGCTCTTGATAGAATAGGTACAGTGTTAAGAAATCTAAAATTCTAGCCATTGGGGCCATGGAGACAACACTCCCAACTCAGGAAATGTCAATTTCTTTCCTGTTTTCTAGGAACCTCCCTAAGATTTGTATAGTGCTGTGTAAGTTTGTAGGAATCTTTGGCAGAGAGAGACTAAATATCTTGCCTGAAGGCTCATACTCAAAAGAATTAATGTAGGTATGGAGAAGTTTGTGATCACTTGCAAATGGCAAAAATGATCAAATATTATAAGTTAAGAAATAAGTGTTTGGAAAATTGATATGCAGTCCTTAGACTAGGACTTTTAGGCTTGGGGACATCTTAGTGGGAATATGTGAGTATTCTTGCGGGAGAAGGCCCAGAAATAATATTGCATTTTCTATTTTAAAATTAGCAGGCAAAAATATACAATTCACCTCTGGAAAATCAACCAGTTGACAGTGCATTTGTCCCCAAGCCAGCAAGCATGAGGGAGGGAAGTGGCATGTCTCCATGGGATGCTTCACTGCTGGAGAATGAGTTTTTCCAAGGTAAGTCAATGCATTAGATTGCCTTTGGAACTCCCAGTACTAAAGCAAATAATAATTACAGTTTGTATTATAATGCTCAAAACATATTAAACCCTGTACTTTATTTTTGAAGTGTCTCATTTCCCTTATCTGAAGAGGATGCTGTTATATGCTATTAACACAAATATTAAAGCATATTATATTTAGATATAATCTAAGCAAATATTCTCAGACCAAGACTGACATATCTATGGAATGGTAATAATGTTTAATATTTAACCTCAGGTAAAAAGGAAATACATCCCTAGGAAATATATCTATAAAGTTGACTGTTCTTAAGAGAATTTTATTGCTCCCGATTAGGACCTAAATGCACTGTGACGAAATCTAATTGTTGTCAAACAATTAACCTTGTACAATAGATAACAATAAAGACTGAAAGAGATTCCAAAAGTACTACATGCACATGGATCTTATTATTACATAAGCATAATTCACCTTTACATAAATTATTCTGTATCCAAATAAGCTTGCCCATTTGAAAAGTGAACTCTGAAGTTATTCACTAGCTTCACCTTGAGGAACTAACTTCAATTTGCAAAGGCAGTGACATTACCTGGGCCCTATAGTTGGGACAGGTGGGGTGGTCAGTGAGAGCCATCCAGCTGCTCTGTCAGCCTAGGGACTCCCTTCAGGAAGATGGTTCTTGGCAGAGAACTTGCGTCAGAGAAAAGAGACCCAGTGGAAAATCTCTGTTCCAATACAAAGGTTTTGCTAGTAGAAGAGAGCTACTGTTTATGAGATGAAAAAAGTGACTTGGGGGCCGCCCCGAGGCTTAGCAGTTAAGTGCGCGCGCTCCCCTACTGGTGACCTGGAGTTGGATCCCGGGTGCGCACCGCCGCACTGCTTCTCCGGCCATGCTGAGGCCACATCCCACATACAGCAACTAGAAGGATGTGCAGCTATGACATACAACTATCTACTGGGGCTTTGGGGGAAAAAAAAATAGGAGGATTGGCAATGGATGTTAGCTCAGAGCCGGTCTTCCTCAGCAAAAAAAAGAGGAGGATTAGCATGGATGTTAGCCCAGGGCTGATCTTCCTCACACACACACAAAAAAAGTGACTTGACCTCTTGGAAAATAAAGAGGAGGAGCAGAATAGGAATTTTTTTTTACTTCAAGAGTAGTCAGTAAAACAGCATTGTTAATTTGGGACTCAAAGTGACATCAAATAATTTAAAATCCTGCTATGGCGATGTTAAGAGTTGTTACCTCAGGGAGGATTCCAGGTGATTTTACCTCTTTGGTTATACTTTCCTGTATTTTCTTTTATAACCATATATTGTTTTTGTAGGCAGCAAAAGACTTTATTTAAGGGGGAAAAAAAGCTATGAACAGCTTGAAAGGAAGAACAGAAATTAGAGGTTTTATTATAATTTGTTTTAAAGACAGGTTTTTACCCATTATGTAGTTTCGTTTTCTTTTTGCTTCACCTCATAGTTTGGCATTGCTTGATTATTTTATTTGTGGATATATGGAATAAATTATTTCAGACACTGGAGATAAATAATTTTTTTTTCATTAAAACATTGACAGGATGATTCTCTGAAGAATTCTTTAGTTACAGGTCCTTAATGCTGAAGATTAGTTCTTCTCCTGGCTATGAAAACTTAATAGCAACAAATTACAAATAAAATAGGGTTAGAAAATCCAGAACAAATGTCAAAAACCCTTTCAGCACCTGCCCTGACAAACCTTAAATTTTATGTGTAGCTCAAATCCATTCAAATAAGAATGTTTATAAATTAGCTGCTAAACTTTCGGTGGTAATGCGTTTTTTTTTTTAATGTTACAACTGAGAAATCACATGTTATTTACAGATTCGTTTCTATTACAATCCCCTGGGGTAAACGTAGTTGGAAATATTTTAGCTACCTAGTGACACAAAAGATGCACTAAAAGAACCATGATTAAAATTTATTGTTGGAAGACAATGTAGCTTTATGTCCTTAAGGCATTGTGGAAGGTTAACTTTGAAAAGATTTGATCTGAAAAAGTATGAAAAAGAAACTTCCAATACAGCCTTGTAAAAGTCAGACTATCTTAAAAACATAATTAAAACTGTCATCACATTTATGATAATATGACGAAGATAAAATTATAAATGATTATGTTTCTTGAAGAGGGGACTCAACAACTCAAATTATTATTAGACTGTAAAATCTTATACAAAAAAATGACTCCTATTCTCCTTTCAGTTTTAGATGATTTGGATAGCAAACTGGCTCAGGAACAATTTCCAAGCTCGGTGAATACCAGACCATCTCTCAACTACGGATCAAAAACACAATTCAGTCATTTTTACTCCAGTGGGAACAGACATGGTAATATCACAGGAAGGCACAACAATCACTATAATGAAACTTCTAACATGTCTATCTATGACATCCTAAGACCAGGAACCCCTAGGGAAGGCTTTAAAACCTTTTCTCCTAGAACAAGGACAATTTATGATATGTACAGGGCAAGGGAGCCCAGAGTCTTAAAAGAAGATTATATGCAAAAGAATACTTTTGGTAGTACTTCTCTGTGTTTCGACAGCAGGCAACGATCGGCCTCCTCAGCTACAGGGTATTTCACAGTAAGAAGCTTACATTTTCCAGCCACAACTCAAAACAAGAGTGGGTTTATACCACCAAGCCACCAGCAGAGCCCAAAGAGAACTCCTTTATCATCCATCATATGGAATAGATCAGATTCTTCTAGAGATAGGCAGAACCAGGAAGAGTTCCTAAGGGCACCATCACCAATGGAAATTGACCCTGCTGACCAGTATATGTATCCCAGGTGTTTTCAAGAGAATAAGAGATATGAATTTTACCGTTCACAGAGTGTTTACCAAAGTGTTAATTTACACGCCCCCATGGATAATGCAATGGGTCCTGACCCCTTTGAGAACTCAGAGAATATGCCATTCTACCATCAAGACAACCCATTTGCTAGGTCTTTCTTTGGCAATACCTTTGGTCGAAGCAGGGAACAGAGATATGGACAAAGTCCTTTTTGGGGCCAACAGGAAGAACATTCTTCCTGGTCTGAGTTTCATCAAAGCAGGAAAACATTCACTTCTTCTGAACGAGACTTTGAAATGATTTCCATTGAAGCAAATAGTGCATCAGCTGGCCATGGCTATAGTGTTCCTTCTCAACACTGGGGATCATTTTCTCCTAGTTACAGAACAAATATTTCCAGAGACCAAGAGGAGCCACATCCCTGGCAGTTTGATTCTCAAGCATCCACACTGGAGAGCATGGAGGTGTCACAAGGTAATGGGAACCAGTCGACTCATGTCGGCACAGCAAATATCTGCTCCATGTCTGGTTCAAGCTATCACGTCAAACCTGGTGGGTTAGAATGTCAACAGGACAGTTCTTCTATAGAAGTACATGTAAACAAAGAACCTTACTCATTTGGAATTGCTCAGACTGCAGCATCCTCATTCAAAACTTCCTTCCCCCAGATTCCTGATGACAGAGGCAATTCTCAGAGCCCCAACTTTCAGAATCCCACAGTCACTTTGCAGAAAATTAAGCCTGCCTCTCTTCCAATAAGAAGCTATACACATGTCACTGTGACCAACAGCGATTCAGTTGATTCTCCACCTCTTACTGAAATCCAACCCAATATCTTGGTCTCAGAAGTGAATAATGAGAAAGACTTGAATGAATCTGTTTTGGAAAAAGACAAACAACTAAACAGGATGGACCAGACAAACATGACAGGTGAAATACCCCAACCTGTTTCACAGACAGTAATCTCTAACCCTTTACCTGCTTTTCAAAATCCCCTCTCCCAGGACTCAGCCAAGAGCAACAGACTTGTTTTTAATGCATCTACTCCAGTAAGTTCAAAAAGGTCACCTGGAGTCATTTCCAGGAAAGATGTCTCCAAAATTAATATATCACACAGAGATAAAGTCAATGAACTAAAAAAAGATAAGAGTTATACCAGGAACAGAAAACTTGGCTCAGCAACTTCCCTTCCTTTCATTCAGGAAAGCAGAACAACATCATCTTTTCCCAGCCCAAATCAAGGTTGTCACCAGGAAGCAACAGTAAGTAATGAAGATAATTCAAGCATCATTAAAAATAACCACTGCAGCTCTGAACCTCCAGAAAAGTCTGCTATTTTAGATATCAAGGAAGAAGAGTGTACCACAACTCATTCTACCAACCGTGGCAAGTCAGCTGCCAGCCACAATATTCCAGGTGATTCTTTAGATCTGTCATCAGGTACACTACCAGATTCCTCACCATCGACTAATTCTTTCCTTGATGCTCTGGTGATCCCTTCAAAAACTACAGTGTTCTCCAGGAAAAGTCCTCCTAGCAGAGATGCATCTCTGGGAGAAAGAGAAGAAAAAGACAAGGATAGCAAGAAGCAAAATGATCAGTTTGTCCTAAACCCCTCAGAAAACCAAAAGAGTAGTGATAGTTGTGTGCCTGTATGTAATGAGGTGGTTGATGTTGTCAAACGCCGTTCACACCCTCCTTTCAGGGAGGGAAAGGGAAAAGGAAAAATAAGACAACGCATATCCTGTATTGAAAAGTTAAGCAAAATGGAAAGTAGAACACCCACCAGTGATAGCAGTAGCCTCATTGAGGTGAATCAAAGCAATTCCAAGGCTCCTGAGCTTCACACAATTTATTGTACCTTACCAAGACAATCAGCCAGTTTTCTCATCAGTAACAGGAAGTCAGAAAGTAAGATAATGGCTTCTTCATTTAGGAATGGGCCACTTCCATTCCAAATCAAAAATAATGTGGAAGATCCAATAGGGAAGCACACATCAGACAAATTCAGTCCCAGTTCTTCTGAGTCAGAAAGCAAATGTTCCAAAGTAGTTTCAGACTCAGTCTCAGTAGCCCCTGAAGCCACAGAGAGGATGACAAATATGAAAAACATTGGATCTGCTTCTGTTAGAAAAGAATCACTTCCATTCCCCATCAAGAGGGCTGTGTCATGTCCTTCAGGGGTACCACATGCCTCAGTTGGAAGAGATGAAAGAGAAAAATGCTTGGTCTCAAACATGGATGCTTCTGCTATAATGTTAAGGCCTTGGGAGAGAATCATTAACCCTCTGGAAAGTGACTCATCTGTTAAGGATTGTTCTTTAACCAAAAGACACCGCCAACAGGAATACTTTCAAGAATGCACTGAAAAGGATGGTAAAATTGCTGCCTCCAGGACAGGTATATTTTCCCTTTCAAATGAAGACCCTTTACCTTTTTCTTCAGACATGTCAGGAAAAGAAAGCGGGAAAACATTACATAAATTTAAGACTACGAGTATGTTTTCTGTTTCTGGTGATGAAGATAATGTAAAATGTCTTGAGGTGGTTTCAATATATTACACTCTACCAAGGAAACACAGCAAACAATTCTGTAACCTCCTTCAAAAGTATACACAAAATATTGATTCCCTTACGGAATTAGCTAAAGTGGAGACTGAAACATTTCCTAATGCTTTAGAAAAAGACAAACTAAATTATTCTACACAAGAGCAATCAGGAACACCTTCTTCAGAAGATCTAACGCTGCCAGTCAACTCTGCTCAGGAGAACAGCCATTGTCTTTCTAACACATCTGAAAATATGACTGTTTTACAATTAGCAAGTATTGGGCCCTCAGAACCTACATTACAGGAAATGGCTTCTATTGAGGCAGATGTTTCTCTTCATAATGGAGAATCTAAAACTAGAGAGATTTCCCCAGATAACTTAGCTAACCCACCACTTCTAGGTGATTCACAAAGCAGGAGAGTGAGAGGGAAAAAATTGCAAAATGAAACCCTGCATACTTCATCAATTCTTCAGGGAAAAAAAGTTGCGGAAAAGGAATCTGAAAATTGTCAGCAATCCATTAAATCAGGTAACAGTGGTCCTTTTTATCTTCCAGCCCATTCAGAAAATGTTGAAAATTCCCAAACTGGGAGAAGTTCTGGGGAGCATGTAGGTGGTGGTATAGCTATTACAGCCATGGGATGTGGAAAGTGTCTTCAGAAAGATATCAGTGATAGTGCCAATGGATTGCAGCTCGGGGAGGTCAGAGGGGAAATTGGAACAGATTTCCAAAAAATGACTGATAAAGCACTTTCTGACTCAGAAAGCCAAGTCTTTGCTCTTACTCCAGCTTTGCATAAACTCCAGCTTGATGAGGAGACTCATTCAGGTGAATCAAATTTAGAGAGTTTGCGGTCTGAACCCAGGGAACTACTTCAAAGAAGTCAGGAGGTAAATATGACAGAGAACAGGAAGGCTAAGGATGAAATGCAGAAGTTGGCATGGGATCAGCCTTTACTTCCTAGAGGAAGTAATAAAAATAAAACCAGCTTGGATGACCTAGAAAAAGGGAAAAATAGATCTTCAGTTAAACACAGATTGGCAGCCATGTCCAAAGCAAGCAGAAAATTTCCAGCTAAAGATCTAAGCCCCAGAAGACATGTAGCTACTATTTTCCCCAAAAGTGGCAACAGTTCTGACTTTGGTGGTTTATCTCTTGGCACACCAGAGTGCAACCCACTGTTCCCTGAGCCTACTCCAAAGTCCACAGACTCCACAGATGAAAGCAGGTTTAGTAATGATGGAATGGATGTGGAGAAATCTGAGAACCCTCTCCAGGTTACTGTAATATCCAACACAGAAGCTTCTACACACTTAAGCATTCAGAAGTCAAACAGCATGTCACAGCCACATCAGAATGAGTTTGAAAATATCTCAGAATCACCAGCAAAGTATGAGAATTCTAAAGATGTAACTGTAGCTCAGATTTTGGAAAGTGAGTCGGAAGCCCTGGCCCAGCCCACCATCACCAGCCTCAGGGAAGCAGACTTCTCTGACCACCCTTTTCCATTCGAGACTGCAGAGAAATCAATAAACATTGGGGTGGCCAGCTGTCAGCAACAACAAAGGAGTGCTTCCTCTCTCGAGTGGGAACCTGAGCCACATCCCTATCGTTCAAAGAGTTTAAAAAGCATCAATATGCACAGTGATCTGCTACGAAAAAGTCATCCTCCGAAACTCAGGGAACGCCATTTTTCTGAAAGCACCTCTATTGACAATGCCCTGAGTCAACTGAGCCTTGGGAATGAAGTCTCTAACACCAGTGGGTACAGTCGAAGATTCAAATCTTTTTCTGAACTTCCTTCCTGTGATGAAAATGAAAATTGGGCTTTGTGTAGCAGCAGGACAAAAATGGGTCCCAAGTCTGCAACATCTATATCCAGACCTATTGACTATGGAATTTTTGGGAAAGAACAGCAGTTGGCTTTCTTGGAGAATGTAAAGAGGTCACTCACACAAGGAAGATTATGGAAACCAAGTTTTCTTAAGAACCCTGGCTTCCTGAAAGATGATGTAATTAACTGTTCTAACCCATCGAAGTCATCAAGCTCAGATTCTCCTAGCAATCAGATGCCAGAAGATGGCTTATCTCCAAGTGCACCACTTAATATCTATGAAGAGGATCCAGTGGACTCAGACTGTGACACAGACACAACCACAGATGATGAATACTACCTGGATGAAAATGACAAAGAGTCTGAACTGTGAGGCATTTTCAATAAAATGCCTAACCTTTTCACCAAAAGCTTGTAATGGAAATAAAGTATAAATGTGTATGTCCATAGGAAGGACAGATATAAAAAGATCTAGTTTGTGCAGTGCTAGCTCTGAAACAACCCAAATTCTCTCTTTTTTTGTCCTCCACACCCTACATATACATTTCCTGAATTCTAAAGTAACGCATTCTTGTTTTGAGGGATTCGCTGCTGTTTTCTCCCTCTGTTTTTATCCTTGGCCTTTCTCCCCACCCTCTAACTCAATCTCTAATTCACTGTCCAATGTTGGCTTTCTGCTTTACTTTCCACCTAATTTTTTTACACCTTTCATTGTAATTTACAACCCTGATAGCCCATGCATATACAAAACTTGTTAGTTACCCAGCACAACCGCAAAACTCTGTATTGCCTCTTCTGGTCCACACGCCATACTCATGACATTAAATAAAATGTAGGAATGATGACAATGGAGTAAATATTATCATCCTGTTTGACTCATTGACATTTGGAGGTTTAGGGTTTGGGTTTTTTTTTTCTTTCAAACAAAGATAAGGGAATTTTCATAAGGACATCCTGTTCTATCCATAGTGGAGCCAGGGAGGCACATGTTTGAAGTGCTTGTTGAGTTATAGATGAGGAGCTGAGTCCTAGTAAGCCAAAGAACACTAGTACTCCTAAATTCCCTTGCAATAGTTTGCAGAAATTGGGTGAATTGTTAAGAGCTGATTTTTAATCAAGTCAAGGACTTGGGCCAGGCAACCTGGCAGTACAGAAGGTGGCTTGGCCACAGAATTTCTGCATAGGAAGAAAACATAACTGAGGGGTGGAGATAAGCAGACCTCTGTTCATGAGACTGACATCCTTGCCGCAGCTCTCTCAGCAACTGTTTTTTTTTCCATTTCTCCAGAACTATCCATTTTTCTATTTTCTTTATTTGCAGGATAGAACACTTCTTTCCATGTGAGGCACTTTAGTCACAAGTATCAAGTGGTAGCCTTGGCCAAGTCCCTAAAATGGTGCCAAGTCAGATCTGACACGCTGGGATTCGCAGGCTTCTTTGTAGGATCATTTACCAGAATCTTGGGAAATTATAAGGCAGAGCTTCAGGGGCTAGTCACTATGATTTTTTCAATAATTTATCCAGACTAAATAACTTCTCATACCCACTGACAACTTGCCTAACTCTTTAGTTGCCGTGCAGAACTGGGAATTTCTCTCCTAATCAGGATAAAGACCAACAGATGGCGGTGAAGATAATTTGCTAGGACTCCAGAAAGCGTGCCACCTGGATCTTAGTCGTGTGGGTCAACATGAGTGGATTTCATCGTTTGGTTTATATTTGCTTCCTGACCTAATTTTATTTTCCTTTTTTTCCACCTAATCTGTTTCGTCCACATAAATGAAGGATAATGATAGGTGTTGGTGAAGTACATAGAGATCTAGAACTGATGAAAATGCAAGAAAGAACTATGTTATTATTACCCTCCTAATCATTGCCTTGCCTGGAAGCAAAATGCCAGGACTAGCTTACATCGTTCCCATGAAGCGCAAAACTACTGAAGACGCAGTAGCTGATGTGAAAACTGGTCCTTAAATCTGTAAATTATTTTAAACTTAAGGCTCTGACCGATCTTGAGTTCAAAGAGGCTGATAACGGAATTTTAAATCAACTGTTCTAAACTTTTCCATTTAAATTTGTATAGTAAAGAATAAATTTTATTCTTTGTTTTATGTATGTTTGTAAACTCTACCTTTACCTTTTTTCTATTTACCTGATTATTTAAGCAAAATTTTCGTCAACAATGGCCTGTGTTTTCAATGTAATTTTACGATATTCAGAGTTAATATTTTAATATTAAGATTCTTGACTTTTTTTTAATGATCAGCTTGCGAGTTTCTATTTCAGTAAATACTCCGAGTCTGCATGTATGTTGCCAAGGGTCAAATGAAGTTAGCTTATTTTTCACTAAGTTCAGGCTATATCAACAGTTAGGTAAGTTAAGGTGAGGATAAACAACTACATTGCGGCCCTGATTCTCTGCACTAGAATCTACTATATGAATTCAAAGGGAATCGGTGGCCAATACTCACTTGCACTATTTGTAATGTTTGCTTGTTGGTCTGACTCAAGAATTAAGGAAACAGAAAATTCATGAAAATAGCACCTTCTATAGTTTTATACTTTTATAAAACACTTCGTTAAAGAAGTATAGCAAATTTCTATGTATTTTAACATACAAAATGCTGCTTTTTAATATTCGTTTTTTGGTATAGCTATAGTAATTTATAATAGTCATTTTTATACTAATAACTTGTTTTCTAAAAGATATAATCATTATTAAAATAAATCTTCACGTAAGTGGAATAAATCATGAGGGAATCAATACTAATAAGTACCTGGTGAATTATTAACTTTTTTAGATAATGGACTTCTATAACCATAAATTTTACACTGTAAAGTCTATTTAAAATAGGGCTTAATGAGATTATTTTAGTTTTTAGAGACTTCCTTGTAAATAATTTACCACCTGCATTGTAAATACATTAATCTTAATAAAACTCCAACTGCCACTAACAAGGTTTTGGCTGATGATAAGCTAGTAAAAGCTACTTTGTATAGGAGGCAAACGTGGGCCTGTACTGGAGGTGGTGAAACAAAGTCCACTTAGGTTATAGTGAAGATGGGAATCAAATTGGAAAATCCACACCTCCATAAAAGTAATATACTCCATTGACTGCCAGAGAGAGCAAGAGGCCTTATTGCTAAGAGTTTATTGTTTATACTAGTAACAATGCTTCAGAATATACCATTTAAATGTACAGTGTAAATATGTAAATATTTTACTTTCCAAGTAAGTTTGTGAATGTATTACCACATAGGGGCTCTTTGTGACTGGCACTTCTGTGTTTCTGAAACAAATAAACCTTAAGCACTTTTGTTAAAATTTTGTCAAATAATCCTTTATGTACTTGTTCTCAAACCTGTTCTCTAGATATGAAATGTGTTACAAGGTGCAAATTGAAAACAATGTCTGTGTTGAAATAAATGATTTAAATAGATGCACTGCTTGACTTGGTTTTATTCCCATCCTCAAAGGATTATTTTTAAATGTGAAAGTTTCAAGAAAAATACAAAAAGGAGAGAGGAGGAGAAAAGTATTCAAACAAATCTTTCTGGTGTCTGTTGAATGAGACCAGCCATATGAGTAGTTTTTAAAAACAGTGACTTGCTTCTCTTTTCTTCTTTCATTTGTACCCAAAAGCAACTAGCCATCAAATGGAGATCAGTGTGCCTGGTTGCACAATAGAGGAGGAATGAAGAAGGTCTGGCATTTCTCTCTGAGGGTTCCCACTTCTATAGAGGAAGAGGGAGCTACATGGAGTTGAGTCATCCGTTGCCCAGTAGCAGTGATGAAAGATAAGCAGGTCTTTCCAGTTGAAACACAAGAAAAAAAGTGTTAATTCCTGCTAAACAAATTAATTAATAAATTTGTACTAATCTTTTATCTTTTCTAGAAAAGCAACCCAAAGCCACTTCTGTACCAAGGACAGGAGAGTATCGTCACCTTGAATATAGACAGTATTTTATTCAAAATATTTTTACTGTCCTTTATTAAAATTTAAAATACATTGGATCAGCTAGGATTTTTAGTTGTAGAAGATACAATTCACTCTAGCTGGTTAAAATAGAAAAGGATTTATTTAAGGGTATATACTTTGCTCACAAACATATTGGTAGGGCTGAAAAAATAGATATTAAGCTGAAATTCCAAGACCCACTCCTAAAACCATGCTGCAGAACTGGACTGCCACAGGAGCTGCTGTCTCTGTCATGACTAGGAAGATGCAGAATTAGGAAGTTGAGTGAGACAATACACTGAATCACCATATTCATTTGCCCCAGAAATTACTCCAATAGAATTAAAAATACAAGTATGTACAGACTTAAACGTAAGAATTTTTATTACTACAAGGTTTGTTGTGGCAAAAAATGAAAACAAAGTGAACACCTAATAAGAAATGACTGAATATATTATGGAACATCCACATATGTAATATTATGAAACCGTTAAAAAGAATAAAATAGAACTATATAAATTGACTTGGAAGAATTTGCATGAGGTATTATTGAATGAGAAAAGCAAAATCTCATTTTTGTAAAGCATTAACCAAGAAACCTGCATATGCATGTGTACATATGGAGGGACATACTAGCCTATTCTGTTGCTTTGCTGCCAGCTGGGGCTTGAGGGGTATTTCAAGAACAGCAGAGAAGAGAGAGAAGGGGTAGCCAAGAGCCCCCCCAAAAAGAAACACCAATATATATATAGAAATATATGTGTGTATAATTATGATTATATTCATGCACTTAGAATTATATGTCAGTTGGTATACAGATAAGAAATTAAAGGTAGTTTTTTTAAAGTTTTACTACCCAGGAGAATATCTAATGTTATTTCCTTTTAAAAAATTAATATTTGTACTTGATTCTATGAAACATTGTGTTTTAATAAAATAAATGCTAGCACTAATTTTCCCTCTAAGCCCATGCTTTCTTCCCCAACCATCCTTTCCAGATTATGCTATCATTTCAGTCTAGAGTAAACTCAGAAGTACCTCTAGAAATGTTTTGGAGGTATGTAGTGGATACTGATATGATTGTCTTCCTGGTAGACACTTTTTCCTTTTCTCTGGGAACTCTATTCTCTGACACACATCACCACCACATGTTCACTGTGGAAGAATCGATGTTTTTAGACAACTCCAGAGTCTGAGCACAGTTGATTGCTTCAGGGATGAGTGCCTGACTCAGGCTAGACAAATGACTAGTCATGCTTTGGGAGGAAATACCTCTATATTATGAGGTTCTGAATGCAAGTTAATATTTAAACCAATTGTCTCACAATCTAAAACCCACCCTAGGAACTGTAATATATGGGAAGGGCAGGTACTGAGTTTATATCACCAGCACCTTGCAGAATGCATAACATAAAGTGGGTGCTGAATACATATTATTGAAATAATTAAAATAAATTTTTATGCATTTTATGGGACCTAAGCTCATCTAATCCCATGCAAGGTTTTTACTAATTAA